TGGTTTTCCAATGTAATCCACATCCGATTGTAATCCGCATTTGATTTTAGAGCATACAAAATTTGTAAAAAGGGTGCGGATTAGATTCGAGAAAATACGGTACGTCGTAGTATCGTATATTCAAGAAAAAAAAACGTTCTTCAAAATTCAACCTGTCAAGATGAAGATAAAATTAAATGAGAAATTGCCAAGCCAGAGCCAATGAACAAAATGTGGACTAAATGTTGTGGATCATATTTCTTCTAACTATAAAATTGTGCAAGAACCACCAGAAGGTGGCAAATAATAAACCATATTACATAGTTTACTCAAAATATCTGGAATAAATTCTCAACTGATATTTCTTCTAAAATTTTGCATTGAACTTGACTGATGCTCAACTGATAGTACGTACTAACTGGATATATTTACCGAAATCTTTGCGTCTAAGAATTTGTGAGATGTGTGATATAGAACTATTGAAAGAACAACTTGAGACACATAGAAGTGTCGGACGAGTTGGTAAGTCTACGCCTTGCGGTCAAAAAAAAAATAGAAAAAGTAAGTACTATTGTAAAACATATGACATTTTTATACATGGAACACGTAACTGTTATGTGCAGTGAGTGTTACAAGTCTTCAATTAAGCGAAAATCGTAAGGTCAAATTATTAGGTTGTAGTTACATTTAGGAATAAGAATTTTATTATATGTTACAAGAGAATTGTTTAGATAATATTCTTTTTTATTTTATTAAATTATTATACAATGTTAATGATTTTATTGTTTCTAAGCACAAAACCACCAATAGCACCAATAGAGGATTACGTCAGATTTAGAATCAAGTCATATTTGTGTTACTTCTGATTGTTTCAGCTATACATTTTTTATTATACAATGTTCCTGTATTAAATATAGTTGCTTTAATACAGGATGATTCTCAACCTATACGCATAAACTTGGGAAATCATACTTTCATGAGGAAATAACATTCCTCATGACTAATAATGACTAATAGGCGAAAAAACTTATAATAAATGTTTCTTAGTTTCTTAGATATCCGATATAATCGGCAACACCTAGATAATGTGTTTCCACCGGCCACCGTGATCACCCGACCTCAATCCTCTTGATTTTTATGTTTCGGGGCACTTAAAAAGCTTAGTATACGCTGCGGAAGTTAATACTGAGCAAATATTGCAAAATCGGATACATGCTGCTGTCGAGACAATTCACCAACACCCCGGATTAGGTTGCGCAAGTGGGAGATCGCGGATTCGGGGAGCCCAATGGTATATAGAAAATATAGGAAATAACTTCTAACACTTGCTGTGATGTTATTTTAAAATGTTCTATGTATTCTTGGTTTGAAAGTAAATATCACGAATATCTCGTCATGAGAAATAAAGTCTCAAGTTTATGCGTATACGTTGAGAATCACCTGTAGACCAAACCGTTGAGTAATACCGGATATTACTTCATATCATATTAAAAGTAATATAAACCGATTACAGAGATTACCGAGGCGAGTCGTTGACTATTAAGGCACTTAGAGGATGTCCCCAAGGGTGAGTGCTTTCACCTCTTCTATGATACCTGGTAGTTGATGACTTGATGAACACCTTAACAAAAAATGGATTCACGGTTCAGGGATATGCAGATGACCTGGTAGGTAATCACAATCCGAGATAAATATGATACAATCATAACCTAACTAATGTAGAAAGCCCTACTACTTACTAGCACATGGTGCAGAAGCAATGGGCTCAGCAGTAATGCAAACAAAGTAGAAATATTCCCTTTCACTTAGAGAAGGAAACTACATTTGAGATCACCCTCCATTGAAGGCAGACACACTTGATAGTAAATTAAACCGGAACTCCCACACAGTCAAGGTGAGGAAGAAGGCCAACATGTCTAGCCAGATCGGTAGCAGGCTCCTTGGAAGGAATTGGGGTCTTAAACCACGAATGGGTCACTGGGCCTACGTAGCAATAACCAGACCCATGGACGCCTATGCCTCACTGGTTTGGTGGCCAAAAACAAATCACATGACAGCATTACAACAGCTGGCACAAATCCAGCAGTTAGCATATCTTAACATAACGGGTGCAATTAAATCTTGTCCGACGGCTGCTCTTGAAGCCCTACTCGGTTTCACAAAACTTCATTTATACATACAAAAGGAGGCAGCTTTAAGTGCCTTATCATTGAAAACATGTTCTTTACTCAAGTTGATGCAGGGTTACCTCAGAGGACACCTCGAATACCTCAAGGACACATGTCTAAACCACGTGATTGAAATTAAAACGGACCTTACACCAATAGAATATAATTTCGACCAGCCGTATAACATCACTTTTAGAAGCAAGGATGATTGGACGAAGGGTGAGCCCTTGCCTGGTACATCGATGCTTCAACGACAGTTGGATCCGGAGTAGGTATGAGCATTAGTGGACCAAATAACCGCATTAAATTGCTCCTCAGGTCGGACATAACTATTTTTCAAGCTCTTGCTATAAACTAAACCGCCCTAAAGGCAGTTCAGGTTTACACATGTGAATTCGCACCGCTAGAAGACGAGAGAACTCGCTAGGGGTAATGATATTACCCTATGGTGGGTTCCAGGTCACAAAAACGTTGAGGGTAATGAAAAGACGGAGAAGCTGGCCAAAGAGGCAGCGAGGACATTCTTTATTCGACCCCAACCCAGTTGTGGACTACAAAAAAGCCACTTAAAATAGGCAATCAATAGTTGCGTGGCCACAAAGATAGCCATACACTGGAAAGAATTTCCAGATCACAGACAGGCGAAGAGTATGATAACTCTGTCGCAAAACAAAACCAAAGAGGTTTTATGCGTCAACAAAGAGGATCTAAGGTCGCTCTCAGGCTACCTGGTCGGCCATGCGCCCCTAAAATACTACCTCTTCCACATTGGACAAGCACAGGATCAAATTTGTCGACTTTGCAACGACGAGTCAGAGACTGCTGAACATATACTGTGTGAATGCGTCGCCGGTGGCTGCCTAAGACACAAAATTTTCTGTAAAGTTCGCCTAACAGCTACCGACATAAAGGAACAAGACCTTGGAGCAATACTAAGGTTCATCAAGGATCTACATTTGCCCTAAACCTTTAGAGGGCTTCAGTTATAGCTAATAGCTCCCCTCAGCCCGGCAGCAATAATAATAATAGAAACCGATTAAATGAATTAAGAAACTATACCGTCTATAAGACTGTCATGACCATTTGTGTTATAAATGGGGATGTCGCCACCGAAGGGTTAATAAAGTACCCGAGTAACAATAATATTATATTATTCAACATCTGTAACTGAAGCGTAACTGCTCAAACCCGTCCCGCTTGATGTCGAAATCTTTCTATTTTATCAAAAAGCTTGTAATAAGTTACATGTTACCACACAGAGAGAAATATATTCTTGAACGAAGATTATTACTCTTGGCTCAAGCTTATCATATTCTTGTATATCCACAAGAATATCATTTTGTTGAGTGAAGAAAAACCACATATTCTTAAAGCAAGTATACAAATATTCTTGATTCGCAAGAAAACGAATTCTTAGTGAAAGTAAATCGATAATCTTGTATCTTAGTGTTGCGTCAATAATTCCATTCCTGTAAAAACAAAAGACGCTAGCGATTTTAAGTTTTCGACATTGGAATTTATTTAAAAAAAGAGATCGAGACGTGTAAGGTACTTTTTTTCTAACTCTTATAGTTTCCGAGATAGTGTACTCGAACATCTAATTTGAACCACCTGTACATTGAAAATCATAGGTTTCAACTTATTGTTAGTATAAGACAGTGGTGTCCATAACGTGGATCGTGAAGCCATTTTGAGTCGATCGCCAACAAAAATCACGAATCTGAAATATCTATATCTGGGCATCAAAGCCAAAGAAAGAAGGTTAGCTTTAAAATGTAAAAAAAGATTTTAAACCCTTCGGTCGATCTTGGCAAGACATTTACTTAAAAAGTCGATCTTGATCAAAAATTAGTGAACATCACTGGCATAAGACATACATCAAATGTTAGGTTGGGTCATAGCCCACCACACCCCTATATTTAGTTAGTGAATGAATCAGCAAAACACAAAGAAACAGTATAGTTTGAGTTTAGTTGCCAACCTAGATCTAGGCATTTAATGCAATGCCCAAGTATTCATAATGATTAATGAGCACCTAAGTTTGGATGACAAAATAATTGAAAACTTTTTAAAAAAATTTATATGGGCTTCTTATTCTGTTGTTATGGCATACAGGTTGACAATCAATCTAAAGCCGTTGTCTCGGTGGTTCACGTCGCTCCAGACAGTTTCACAATGAGAGAATTTATAGGTGCGTCAAAGGATGGCATGAATGATTTAATTCTCGCCACTGCACAAAGATAATAAATGTATTACATTCTAAACAGGAACTTTATCTTTTATTTTTTAATATTATAAGTTATAGAAAATGTTTCCCATGTATATATATTTTTTATTTGAGCTGCTGTGAAATGAAAATGAGCAGTGTGGACATGTTTGACTTTTGATTTGTCATTTTTGTTATTTGTGCATCAACTACAAAAAAATAATTTGAATCTATTTCATCTCTTTTAACGAGATCAAAGTTGGTTCAAATGATGGAAGGCTCATTTCATATCAGTCGTTTCTTTTATGAAATATTAATATTTTAGTATCTTCATTAACAGTAATCTTTGCAAAGTTTTATCAGTTTTATATCTTTTCAAATTAATTCCAAACTACGACTTTTTTAATAACCTTAACGACTTTCTTAATTGTGTTCATTGAAACCATCCTTGGGAGATATTTAACTTTTAAAATGTATAAAATTAAAATAAATAAATTTGTATTTTATGCTAATATCGCAACCTCTGCATAGATTCAATCATATTTGACAATCAATTACCCGATATCTGTTTGCAGCGGCGGGAAGCGCAAAGTACATAGATTTTATCGAAACGCAATATGCAATTTACTCACGTATCAACAACTCACCTAAACGCTTTAAGCACGTCAACTTCCCCACACTTTCTTGTTTTTCAGTTTTGTAAACTCTAAAATTTCGCGACTAACGTAAAAACAAAAAAAGCACTGAGCGACGATCACTTAAAAGCAGCACTGAATGCGATGATAAAAGTTCTTTTGAAGTTTTGTAAAACTATTCCGTTATTCGAATACCGACTATATTTCTTTTGATATCCAACTGAAAAACTGCCCGCAGTGAAGTTTCAAACAGGGTTTTGTATTTTAGTATTTTTCGATTGTATATGAGGGGGTGTTATTCGCGTTCACTTCCTGCGTTCGCTTTAGGGAGCACCAGGCATCGGTGGAGGCCTCGGTGATACTACTGTTCAAATCCACGCAGCGTCCCGACGCTATGCCGACGCGTCGCGACGCCTCCCCAACGAAATATCTCCCTCGATGTCGTTTTAGTCGACGATGCGAACTGCCAAGTCGCTATTTTCTCTAATTACGAATTGTAAGATGTTATTACCAGAGGGATGAATTTTGCATTCTTTTTATCTTTTCTTTATTTTCATGGTTCATGAGATTATTAACCTTTCAAAAAAAATTTACGATTGTAACAAAGTTTTACATCAATTTTAACTACTTCAACTCTTTCATTTGTATAAAAGGAACTTATAATTTTAGATTTAAAGTTATATTGTAATGGGGTACATTATGTAATGTTGCTATATCAGTATAATTGTTACAATATGGATTGGTTGCCAGAAAGAGTTATTTTTCGACGGTGATTCAAGCTACAATGGTGACTTTTGAAAAACTGTTGAACAACCTCCGTTGACAAACTCTAACAAAAAACGTACTGATCTAATAATTTAACTGCATTATGTAATACATTGTTGTCAAATATTTTTGACATACATGAAAATCATTTACTAATCAGAAGAACCTTACTGAATGAGAATGGCACAAGTTAATCTTTTCACTTCATGGAAATCTTTTAAGTACAAATATGTATAGGTTTTGATAATCATTTATCTACTATTAACATAATATCACCTTTTATTTATATTTTATTTATCCTCATATTAAATCGTTATATGTATGTCGAAATTAGAAACCTGTCTTTCAATATTCCTCGTCGTTATGTAGTGTTATGCAGATAAGTATACCATTTGATTGAAGATATTGACAGAAATGTGTACTGTTATACCCTATTTTTTTATTGCAAATAAAAACGTTCTGTGTTATCAATTAAATCTTGGTGTTGTGCATAATGTCACTTATGTTTTGCTCCAGTTGCATAAGTCGTGGATAGTGTAATCTACTTCTACTTGTAGATGGCTGACAGGATAGCCATAGTGAAGACTACATTTGTTAATTTACCATGTAACGCATTTTCTTGCAAGTAATAAGAGTAGCTTTAATAAGGTAGTTTTTAGCACTAAACCAATAGTACTTATATTAGGCGGCTTTGGAATTGATAGAATCATATTAAATCAATAAAACAACGTTTGCATGAACTTTCGATTATCATTAAACTTCGATCTCTCTTTAGACGTGTGTCTGTTACTTGTCAAACCCGATTTCAGGCTAAACTAGTTTTTCCTAGGTCAAATCAATTTGTCTTGATAAACGCGTGTTGGATCAACTAGTTCAACCTAGGAAAAGGTAATTTGGTAATAAAAGGTAATAAATACGCACTTTAGACTAAAATAGTATCGCCTAGACACCCAACCCAAACATTTTTACTAGAAAGGGAAGTAAATCAGGATATTGAAATCTCGATAAGGACTACAATATTCTATTATATATGTTGGAGGCAGATGACGAATTCGGCCCGTGGCTGATTTATTTAGACATATCGGCATATGTCTAAAGCTGTTACGTCACATGACGAAAAAATGATACAATCGGGATATTTTTTGCATAGTCGGGGCACCTTGCTTGCTTCATAGTGACAATGGCAGAGAATTTGTGAATCAAGTAATTACTAGCCTTGCAGATATATTTCAAGCGAAAATAATTCATGGTAAACCACGTCATTCTCAAAGCCAAGGGTCCATCGAGAGAGCGAACCAAGATGTAAGAGACATTTTAATTACTTCGATGCAGGAAAATGAGACAACTAAGTGGGCAGAAGGTCTAAGATTTGTGCAATTAAAAAAGAATAGATCATTTCACCGAGGCATCCAACGTACTCCATACGAGGCTATGTTTGGCATCCCACTTGTTAATGGCTTAAAAGATTCAAATCTTCCGCTTGAAATTGTAGAGAAGTTACACGATGAGGACGACATTTATAGATTAGAAAGCAGTGTTGGTAGAAACATAGAACAGGTAGTATCTGAAAAATCAGATTCAGAATTTCAAAACAGTGATGGAGGAAATGAAAAAGATGTACAAGAAAGCTTTCCCATAAATTATTCCAAAAATGATGATGTTGAGGAAGAATTGTTGAGGTAACCTAAAAAAACGCAGAGAATTTACATTGCTTATTATTATTATTATATGTTTCATTTTAGGAACAACGAAATCCGATTAAAATCAATAAATCAACATCGATCTCATAGTATTGCATGTTTAAAAAAGCAAGCAACAGAAATGTTACAGCAAAGTTGTTCCAAATTCCCAAAAATTGAAATTGGGCAGAACGTTTTAGTTAAGATTCCTGATGTCGACAGAGGACGCTTAGCTCCTCGTAACATTTTGGCTGTTGTATTGTCCGAGAAAGATGATTTATACCAACTTGGTACATCAACTGGCGTCTTGGAAAAACTATATGCAAGGAATGAGTTCCAGGTATGTACTTAACTAATATTTTATATATTTAAACGGTAATAAGGTTTTTCTTTTCAGCCTTCTCAAACGAACTCATTGACATCTTCAGATGTACCCATCGAAAATAAACTCAGTTTGCGAACGGTGGCGGCAAAAGAATCAAATTCTTCCCAGGGGTTTGTAAGATGTAACTGTCGTAAACAGTGCAGTAATAAAAAGTGCAAATGCTTATTAAAGAACTTGAAATGTAACAGTAAATGTCATTCAAGTACTTCATGTCGCAATAAGTAATAAAATAAATATTATGTTAGTTCCTACATTGCATTTGTTTCTCATATGACCAAAGCAACAATTAACATTTCGGGATATGTTTAACTGCTAAAAACAGTAAAACGTACTAATAAATACACTGCACGTAAGTGATGTCCTTCATAAACATCCCAAAAGAGGTTATGTGTAGTTCCGATCGGATCGGCGCATTGTGCAAATGTACATATCGGGACGTGTTCAAACTGATATGGTCAGATCCCGATTGTATCATTTTTTCGTCATGTGACCTAACAGCTTTAGATATATGCCGATATGTTTAAATAAATCGGCCACGGGCCGAATTCGTCATTTGCCTCCAACATATATATAGTATATATACTTATATTTTATTGTACTGGTTTCTATTAGACAATTCAGTTTATAATTGTGATTTCTTACGCCACTTATTTTCTGAGTAAACTCCAATTTGGCCTACCCTATACACTAATGGCCAATAGGCGTTCACTACTTTTTCATGAATTTTCAACGGATCTTTATCATATAAAGTAACAAATAAAAATGCACAAAAGAAAGCGAACAACATAAGTACCGTAAAATGGGGCTACTTGGCTACTTGTTCAGTCCTGTGTCACGAAAGCAAGGTTAGGTTATGTTTTTGTTTCTGGTGATTTCTTTTCTTATTATCAAAGAAAGTCACTGATTAAAAATGGTGCGCACGTTTCAAAAAACTCTAGGGTCAAAAGCCTACATGAATTACAAAGTGAAAGACTTGGAAAAGGGTATGGATGCAGTTCGGAAGGGGATGTCAAGCAAAAAGAACAGCCACAGAAACATTCAAAGTGCCTCGGACTACATTAGTATGGAAGATGCTTGGAAGGAATTCAAGACCCGTTGCACATCCGACTGTTTTAAACAAGTCTGAAGAGCTGTTGTTTTCTGAATCTTTGGCTGTTGTTGCGAATTTGGGGTTCCCCTAGACAAAGGCCGACATTCGAGATGTGGTGAAAAATGCCTAGGTAAACAAGGGAGGCAGGTCAAGGTCTTCAAGAACAACAGTCCAGGTCTAGATTTCATCAATTCTTTTGTCGCTAGAAACAACCTGTCCATCAGAATAGCGTCAAACATCAAGTGGTCCAGCTCGTCAGTCAACCGCGACGACATTACAACATTTTTTAACAACGCTAACCTTGCCCTTTCTTCAGTGAAAAGTGTAAACCTATATAATTATGATGAGACGAATGTCACTGATGATCCTGGTGCTAAAAAAGTCATAGTGCCAAGAAACACAAAAAGAGTGGAAAGAGTGCAAGAACATTCTCGGGCTTCGATCAGCATTATGGTTTGTGGATACGCAAATGGAGATATACTTGCTCCTATGGTGGTATATAAAGCACAAAACATATTTAACAACTCGACTAAAGGTGGACCAGATGGTTCAATATATGCCAGTAGCCCAAGTGCCTTTTCGAAAAATGTTTTTTTGAAATCTTATTACCGCATGTTGAAGACACTCGCGACTCAGAAGATAGAGTAGTTTTGGTGGGAGACAATTTGGCAAGCCACTTCTCTCCAAACGTGATCAAGGCATGCAAGAAAAATGACATCTCTTTGACGCCATTTCCAGCAAATGTCACCCATCTAATGCAACCATAAGATGTTGCGGTATTCGCACCTATGNGACTTAATTTATTGAAACGAGCAACAATACAAAAGAAAAAGTGCTATCTACTTACAGAGAAACAATACTATTTATTATAAACATTAATTGTTATGTTTTTACATTTCGAAACACTTATTCCAGATGAGTAAACATGTTGTTGAAACTGACAATTCAAAATTGTTAACAATTATTTCAAAATATTTTTGTAAACGTCAAATAGACTTTTTTAAAGAAATTGTTTTTTTAGCAGTCGTAGATAAAATGCTGTATATCACACGTGGGCTAGAACATAATTACAGTACTTGCAATTCTCCACACTCGTACAGTAATTATGTTTCTAGCCCACTTGTAATATAATAGTTATTTATAAGTGAAACATAATTACTGTACGAGTGTGAAGACTTACACAACGATGTGCGACAAATGGTGCGCACGTATCAAAAGCCTAAATGAATTACAAAGTGAAAGACTTGAAAAAGGCTATGGATGCAGTTCGGAAGGGGATGTGAAGGAAAAAGAATAGCCACAGAAACGTTCAAAGTGCCTCGGACTACATTAGTACGGAAGATGCTCGGAAGGAATTCAAGACCCGTTGGACATCCGATTGTTTTAAACAAGTCTGAAGAGCTGTTGTTTTCTGAATCTTTGGCTGTTGTTGCGAATTTGGGGTTCTCCTTGACAAAGGCCGACATTCGAGATGTGGTAAAAAATACCTAGATAAACAAGGGAGGCAGGTCAAGGTCTTCAAGAACAACAGTCCAGGTCTAGATTTCATCGATTCTTTTATCGCTAGAAACAACCTGTCCATCAAAATAGCGTCAAACATCAAGCGGTCCAGGTCGTCAGTCAACCGTGACGACATTACAACATTTTTTAACAACGCTAACCCTTTCTTCAGTGAAAAGTGTAAATCTATATAATTATGATGAGACGAATGTCACTGATGATCCTGGTGCTAAAAAAGTCATAGTGCTAAGAAACACAAAAAGAGTGGAAAGAGTGCAAGAACATTCTCGGGCTTCGATCAGCATTATGGTTTGTGGATACGCAAATGGAGATATACTTGCTCCTATGGTGGTATATAAAGCACAAAACATATTTGACAACTGGACTAAAGGTGGACCAGATGGTTCAAAATATGCCAGCAGCCCAAGTGCCTTTTCGAAAAATGTTTTTTTGAAATCTTATTACTGAATGTTGAAGACACTCGCGACTCAGAAGATAGAGTTGTTTTGGTGGGAGACAATTTGGCAAGCCACTTCTCTCCAAACATGATCAAGGCATGCAAGAAAAATGACATCTCTTTGACGCCATTTCCAGCAAATGTCACCCATCTAATGCAACCATAAGATGTTGCGGTATTCGCACCTATGGAGAAAAACCTAAGTGGAGAAAAATACTGGATCAATAGAGAAAAGAAAGCAGATACCCTAATATGGTTGCATTTCAAAAGAATAATTCCCTGTATTGTTAAATAGACTCTGGGCAGCAATCAGCGATATGGTAGAGTAAAACCTGAAATCAGGTTTTAGAGCAACTGGCTTGCATCCTCCTAATCCAAATGAGGTTTTGAAAAGGATTACCGACGGTTGAAATGAGAGCGAAAGCAGCGACACACACGGAAGAGTTTTAGATGCAAGTTTGCTAGAACTGTTGTAGGAGCACCGTGGGAGTGGCGATAAGCAGAAAAGGAAGCGAGGCAAAAAGATTCCAGCAGGTACAGATGCGTCCGTTGCTGTCATTTCCACAAAAGCTGAGAATGAAAATCAACCTTCTTCCTCAGGCACACCCAAACAAAAAATCTTCGAAAATGAAGGCCAGTTCGCAAGACACGCACAGTAAAAAAGATTGACTCATTTCCTTGCGGTATCTGCCGCATAAAGTGGAAAGACGACAGAAACAAAATGGATTGGATACAGTGTCTGAAATGCAAATACTAAGTTTGTACTGCATGTAACCGTGGTCTCGCTGCGAAGACTCGGAACACGAAGAAATCTTTGATGATAGCAATCAAGACAAAGATTTCCTTCGTTCAGGATTAAAGAAATTTATGAAAGAAAAATGATTATTATTAATTTAAGTTTGAATTGTGCTATGAAACAGTGATTTTTGATTTTTAATATGTTTATTGTTGGTAAATACGTTAATTTTTGTTTCTTTTATTTCGATTTATATTAATTTAAGGTTAACTTTAGACGATTTTTTTGAAACTCTTGTAAGAAGAAATAAATACAGCTTTGTTAAAATTTATTTAATATTTTTTAATGTTTAATTCAATAAAAAATGTGTCTTTTACATAAAAATATATTCCTTAATGACATTCCTGATATGCAAAGTAAGAGATTATCTCTAAAACAAAGTTTAGTGTCCAAGCAGCCCCAACAACGGGGCTATTCGGACATCACTTTTTTATATATTTTTTGTTGTTTGTATAAGGTATTTTCAATGTTTTATGATAGCTATACAATCCTGAAGGTTAGGTTGGTATGATGAACAAGTTCCTGTTGCCGTAACTTTATTTCTTCACTTTTAATCTTGAAAAATTTGCAAAAAACGTGTCCAGGAAACTCCATCTTACGGTACTTGATAAAACTTATTCTTATTTAAATATAATGAAATATTTTGTTTGCAAATCAGATTAAGCAGTTAGCCAGCTTTATCACCCTTAACTCCATTTTGATAATACATTTTCAAATACAAGGTGCTAATCCAGCGGTTGTAGTATCCTGCAAGAGTTTGAAAAGTTGTATCTCTTCCTTTACCTGAATAATTTTGGTGACAAATTTTCCATTTAGCAAAATCCATATTGCACTGCTAAACATTCTAGAAGATATCGTTTTAATGTAACATTAAAACTAAATTTGAACGCGTACCGCTCTATCTCTTAATAATATAATATAATAATAATGTAATATAATAATATAGAAGGAGGAAAAGTTGTGAAAAAAAATAAAATTACAATGACGCGGCCGAGAGAAAAAACATATTCTGTTCCGATAGCAATATATCTACACAATGCTTTGAAATATTACAAGATATGTTCGTTTTCCTTTTCTTTAGGTAATTGAGAACAAAGTATCTCGATAGAAAGTTATAAACACTAAGAAAGTCTCTGGAACTTCTTATTCGCACAAATTGTATAAGACAGCTCTATTTTTTATTAAATTTTATCTAGTTACAATGCACCTTTAAAATAGCAAAGAACATTTTGAGTTACTTAGGACGGCCACACACGTACAGTTTGAACTGGTAGTTTAAACTGAACAGTTCAACTGTACAGTTTAACCTTTACGTGTGTGGGTATTTCAGTCTCACGATCAGTTCAACTCAACTGTACTGTTAAACTGAGAGGAATGAAATTTCAGTTTTTTAACCTGAAAGGATCAACT